AAAACATAACACAATTTCCCATTCAAAGGAAGTAACACAGTTATGATTTTCTAAAATGCAGAGATATAAAGAAGCAGATGTAAGTCAGGAAATATAGCACTAATCTCTGCTCAGCAGATACAGCTGCTGAGTCTATCACTTACAGGTGAAGAAGGCACCCATGGTTATATTCCTGTTTATCACACACAAAATAATTCCCATCAGTTGTGTTACCATCCAAATCATTTTCACTGTGTTATCAGTCCCCTTTCTCTGTTGACCCCTTCATCACAGTAATCTTTTAAAGGCACAAAAAGTTTTTAATGATTACAAGGGAAATTATTCATATTAAACTAATATCAAAATATTTTAAAAGCAAATTTAGAATATAGTAGTATACATGTTTTTTATTAAGCAAATAAATATCAAGATCCAGTTGGGCCTACAACATTGTAATTTCAGTGTAGTGATAATTGTAGATCCTAATGTGAGATATCTCCCAAAGTTGCAATGTATAAAAAACCTGTAATATTTTCTGGTGATAAAGATAGGGCAGGAAGTACTGAATTTCATTAACGTGGTACAAAGAGAACACAATTTTACCCTCAGGCAAATTTATTGACACTCCAAATTAATAAATTTTAATGTGATGTCAGAGAGGACAATATTCTCAGTTTATTCAAAATGAAAGTGACTATTGAATCAGAACATTTTGGGGTAAGCAGGAATAAGAAAACCATAAGTTTTAATAATTTTTAATGATAATCTGTGATTAAAATGTATCTTGTGCTCAAATAAATACTGTAAATAAAGAAATGAAACCGAAAAGGTACTGTTGCTCTGGTAGAAATTTGGGTTTGAAACCCCAAGTTCTTTTTTTTTTTTTTTTGAGCTTTTTCCATTGCTATTCACAGCTGCCATTGAGGTATCCACAGACTCCAGAATCTCTTAATTATATAAAAAATTACATAAAGAATCCATCCCCATGGCTGTTAAATGTGATGTCCTAGAACTCACACCTGACAAATGTTTACTTAAATCCTGTTGATAAAAATTCTGCAAAAATAAAAGAGGCATGGTCTCAAAGACCAGATAAACCAGGCTGATGATGAAACTGCATATACAAAAAGAATGAAGAAAAGTTGTTGAAAAAAATAAAACCATGTTAAATCAGAGAAAACAAATCTTTATATTAGAAAACATTTGTTTTTGGAACATAAACTTATTTGAAACTTGTGTTTAATGATAAATTATTCCCTAGCACCAACCATCTCTGCAATGACCCTTTAAGTGTCTACTTAAAATTTTTGTAACATGCTCCCAGCTGCAGGAGAGAGTAAAGTCTGATGTCTGATAAACTTCACTTATAAAATAAATTCCTGGAAAAAGAAAATGTATCTTATGATGAATGCCTTGGGTGTAAGGAATGTAAACAAAATTCTATCACATTGGAAAATAAGATATTCATATACCTTTAAAGACCTTTTCTCATTTATTTATTAGAGTTTGGGAGCTGGGGGAGGAGGAAAGAGCTCCTATTCTCTGATCCACCCTCCAAATACCTCTAATAGCTGGGGCTGGCGTCAGGGATGCAATCTAGGTCTCCCACATGGGCAGTTGTACTAACTCAATTGCTTGAGCCATCACCTGCAATAGAAAAAAGCTGAAATCAGGGGCCAGAGCTAGAAATCAAACACAGAAACTCTGATGGGGGATGCAGTGTCTCAATCTCTAGGCCAAATACCCAGGTCTTACACAGTATTTTTGTTTTGTTTTTTAGAAAACTTGAAGATTTTCACTGGTTTTTACTGAAGCTTCTCACCTGGAAAAAATAATTAAAGTCACATGATGCTGTATTAATCACTTCAATATGATTTACCCACTGGGCTCCTCACTTACAAGCTAATGGGAGGTGGCCAGGAGTTGGAGGAGAGGGTAGAGAGGTGGGAAAGACAGCTAGGATTGGGAGAAGCTGGGAAACTGTGCTGAGGCCAGAGCCTGATGTATGTACTGAAGATTTTAGGTGCACTAGCATACTGAGACTCACAGTGGATGAGTGGCCAGATTATAGGTGACCTTCATAGCCTTCCCAAAGGGATTAAAGCTTATCCAACAGAGGAAAGAGAGGCAATTGGTGAGTTTAAACAGGAAGTAACCAAGTTGGTGTTTCGAAAAATTGCTTGAGAAATGCTAAGGAAAATGGTTTGCAAGCAAGAATAATTACCAGTTGGGAGGCTATTCCAGTGTTCCAGTAGTTTAGGGAAGAACTCAGATTTCAACTGATAAATATTGAAAAGGAGAGAAGACACTAGATATGAATGTTTCAGTAATTGAAAGGGACAGGGTCTGGTGACCCTTTGAGATGGGGTGACTGTTGTGGAAAAGGAGTTCAGGAGGAGTCCTGATTCCTGGTTTGTGGGACTTGATCTTGGTTCTTGTCAAGGCACTGGACTCATGATTCAATGTTCTATGTGCACTATAATTCTGTCTATTAAAAGAGTTAAACATTATAATTAAACAATGATTCCTATGATCCGTGTTGTCAATGGAGAACAGGATGATTACTGCCAATGGATCTTACTATTGAACCAGGTTTGGTTCTCAATCTGAATCAAGAGTGGCTTTATCCTTTAGGACTTCATTAACATTAAGATGGTCTTTGAAATAATTTTTTTTATTTGAAAGGCAGAGTGACTGGTGGGAGAATGGCTCCAGGACAGAAAGAAAGGAAGGAGGGAGGGAGACAGAGGGAAGAGAGGGAGAGAGGGAGAGAGGGAGAGAGGGAGGGAGGGAGGGAGGGAGGGAGAGAGGGAGAGAGGGAGGGAGAGAGGGAGAGAGAGAGAGAGGGAGATAGGGAGAGAAGGAAAGAGGGAAAGAGGGAGAGAGAGAAATCCACCTTTCATCTGTTGGTTCACTCCTTAATTAGCTACAGTGGCCGGGGATTGGTCAGGATGAAGCCAGAAGCATGAAACATCTTCCTGGTCTCCCATATAATTGGCAGGGGCTAAGCACTTGAACCAGCATTCATTACTTTCCTAGGCACTGGGAACTGGATCAGAAGCAGATCAGCTAGGATGGGAACTGGTGCTCTGATAAGGGACATGAGCATCCATCTCAAGTGGGAGCTTAACCTGCTACACCACAACACCATGAAATAAAATAGTAATGACATTACCAGTTTAGTCATAAAAAGATTCCTAACTGCTAGCCAGCAGTAAAAAAAAAAAAAAAAAAAAGTATTCAGATTAAGAAGAAATGGTTCTATAAATAATTCTATATAACCTGCATATTTAATGGTATCAAGTTAGGATAATCCCCATTTATCACTCCTCATGATAATGAGGTATAATACCACACTAGTGCCTCCTTCAGGTACATTAATATAGTCAATCACATCAGCCATATTGGCCTGTGGCAATGCTTACTCCTTTGTGGCTAAAATTCAACATCTCTCTATGGCTGTTTCTTATTTAATAGTTTTTTTATTTAATGGCTTTTATTTTAAGTTCACTGTAACTCTAAAGCACTACTAATGTATTTTGCCTTGGCAAAGACAGTTTAAACACCTTTAGAGTAGAAAATCATTTACGAGTGGGTCAACCATGTCCCTTACTTGTAATAAATGTCATAGAATTTTGCCTATAGAGAAACCAATATTCCTTCCTGGAACAGCCATTCTGAGTCTGACTTTGAACTGGGACTAGAGCTTCTATTAAATGGGTTTGATTTTCAGGACCTTGTGATCGTCTATGAACAAGCATTCTGACCTCCTTTAAACGTTGTTATATAATTCATTATCTGTCCTTGGCTTTCCATCTCCCCTTAATGCATATTCTATTACAATCTATTGCACACTCTACTTATCACTAAGAAAAAGATGCTAAATATCTGATGACCCAGCAGACTTATTATAAAGTGGAGAGATCTCTTCATATCAGATCACCTCAAAACATCATGTGTTTATATTCAAATTTCACATCTTTTCTGATTATATTGCAGGATTTAGCAGTCTTTCAAATGTGGTCAGTCACTTGATTGACCTTGCTTTTCAGAGAGATGGCTGATTGGTGACAAGGGGATGCTTCCTGCTTCGTTCCAGATGGGGCAGTTGTGTAAGGTCCTTTCTCCCTGTGAAGCATTTAGAGAAAGGCTCTGGAGGGCCCAGTGGGAGAGGGGATGGGCAAATGTCTGACAGTAGCACACAGATAATTTGAATAGATTGTTCAGGCTATTGGAAACAGATATACATTGGCAAAATCATCTTTTTCTTTTTGAGGTATTTTTTCCCGTTTTGAAAGTTTTGGCACTTAAGCATAGCATATGAAAAATACAATAAATGGAAGTATTCCTATTTAAGACACTCAATATATCTAGGGCGTACTTTTTCATATATCTTCTTCATATTGTTTTACTTATTGTATTATGTTTTTAAAGCATCATGAATTTAATATATCTATACTCACTTGATAATTAATTTTAAGAGATTTATTTTTTAAAGTTTTTTTTTTTTTATTTTACTTGAAAGTCAGAGTTACACAGAGAGAGAAGGAGGGGAAGAGAGAGAGAGAGAGAGAGAGAGAGGTCTTGCATCCAATGGTTCACTCTCCAATTGGCCGCAACGGCCGGAGCTGGATCGGAAGTGGAGCAGCCGGGTCTTGAACTGGTGCCCATATGGGATGCTGGCGCTTCAGGCCAGGGCATTAACTTGCTGAGCCAAAGTACCAGACCTTAAGAGATTTATTTTATTTGAAAAGCTGAGTGATTGAGAGATGTACACTTAGAAAGAGACAAGGATAGGAGGATTTTTTTTTTTTTGCAAATTAAAGTTTTTATTTATGTAAAGAAATCAAATTTCATGTATTTCATATATACAGTTTTAAGGACATAATGATATTAAACTGAAAAGAACAGATACTACATTTGATCTTAGCCAAAAGGCCGAGAAATAATGCTATCTTAAAAATTCTTCCTGGGGCCGGTACTGTGGCTTACCCCAGGATTTTTTTTTTTTTTTTAAGATTTATTTATTTATTTGAAAGGCAGAGTTATGGAGAAAGAGGGGAAAAGGGAGAGACAGAGAGGCAGGCATCTTCCATCTGCTGGTTCATTCTTCAAATGGCTACAACAGCCAGAGCTGGGCCAGGAGAAGCCAGGAGCCAGGAGCTTCTTCTGGGTCTCCTTCATGGGTGCAATGCCTCAAGGACGTGGGCCATCTTCCACTGCTTTCCCAGACACATTTACAGGGAGTTGGATTGGAAATTGGGCAGCTGGGACTAGTACTGGCACCCATATGGGATGCTGTTATCACAAATGGTGGCTTTACCGGCTGCACTGCAGTGCCAGCTCCTAGATAAATCTTTCATCTGCTATTTCAATCCTCAAATGGCCAAATGGTTGAAGATCAACCAAGCCAAAGCCAGGAACCTGGAATTCCATCCTGGACTCCCACATGGGTGTAGAAGCCCAAATACTTCGTGACATCACCCACTGCTTCCTCAAGCACATTAGCAAGGAGCTAGATCCATAGTGAAGCAGCAGTGTCTCAAACCGGCACTCCAATATGGGATTCCAGCATCGCAAGCCACAGCTTAACCCACTGTGCTACAACTCTGGCCCCTGCACATTAAAATTTTAGTAGTGTGTTATTTTGTTCTTGTGAAATTAAGACCACAGAGAAAATCACCATGATTCTAATACTTATGAGTAACTGATATTAATTTTGGACTATATCCCTTAAGCTTTTGAAGTCCATATATACTTGTACACATACATATGTATCCTATAATACCATTTTACAAAGTGTAGCTGGTACAATATTATTAATAAATTTGAAATGAAAATAAATTAACAAATTTGGTGAAGTTAGCATATATTCTGAATTACTAGCTTTTTTATATTAAAATTCAATATTTATATATTAGTTTTTTTTAATGAAACAGCCTTTCCAAGTCCTAGGTGTTAAAATAGCAATTAAAATGTCTCAAATTCCATGAATGGCATGCAAAATAAATATTTTATCCATCTAGCACATTTTTCTTGTTAAAATTACTCAGTTGTCTTTTGTAATTATAAAACATAATTGTTAAAATTCAGAAAACAGGAAATTCGAAACAGGAAAATGGAAACAATGTATAATTCCAGTTTTAGAAATAATGTTAAGATTTTATGTATATCTTTTAAAATATTCCTACTCGTTTATATATATAAACATATATGTATTATATTGAGATTGTACTTTACATAGTATTCTGTAATTTGTTTTGTTCCTTTAACAGTGCATCATGAATACCTTTATATATCTGCATCGAAATGACAAAATACCACTAAATTTTCATGCTTACGTTTATCTAATATTCTCTTTGGATATGTTTTCAATTTTATCCACTCGAATATTCTTTTTTTTTTTTTGGACAGGCAGAGTAGACAGTGAGAGAGAGAGACAGAGAGAAAGACAGAGAGAAAGATCTTCCTTTGCCGTTGGCTCACCCTCCAATGGCCGCCGCGGCCAGTGCGCTGCGGCCGGCGCACCACACTGATCTGATGGCAGGAGCCAGGTGTTTCTCCTGGTCTCATATTGGGTGCAGGGCCCAAGCACTTGGGCCATCCTCCACTGCACTCCCGGGCCACAGCAGAGAGCTGGCCTGGAAGAGGGGCAACCGGGACAGAATCTGGTGCCCCGACCGGGACTAGAACCTGGTGTGCCGGTGCCGCAAGGCGGAGGATTAGCCTAGTGAGCCGCGCCACCGGCCACCAATATTCATTTGTTTCCTCAATATATACTCACTGAGTACCTATACTATTCCAGGCACAGATACTAAAAGAGTTACAGCTCCTCCTTTGGAGCTTATATTCTAGTTGAGGAACATAAGCATAAATAATACTCATACTAGAAATACTATCAATACTAGCTATCTGTAACAGTAGGAAGGAACATAAGACAGGACAAAGGAGAGAGAAAATACTGTATTTGGGGGATTAAAAAAATACTATTTTATAAAGGATTTGTAAGTAAGGGAAGTACAGGGACAAGACAGAGTAAGCAAAGAGAAATTCCAGGAAGAGATATGGGCAATTGTAAAGCCTGAAGATAAGCTATTCCTGCAGTATGGTCACCAGTCAGCTACTGGATCACTGTGTGTGAGGTAGACTACTCAAAGTAATGAGTGATAGAAAATGGGGTCAGATGGCTAGTGGAGGCAGATTGTGTGGGAATATTAGGCTTAGAATAAGCACTTTGATTTTTTTTTTTGACTTGAATAAAATAAGGAGCCTTTGGAGAGTACTGAATAGAGTAGAAATAATAATTAATTCTTCTTTCTCCCTTTCTCTTTCTCCCTTTCTCTTTCTCCCTTTCTCTTTCTCTCTCTCTGTCTTTCTCTCTCTCTCTCTTTCTTTCGCTTTCTCTGTCTTTCTCGCTCTCTCTGTCTTTCTCGCTCTCTCTGGCTCTCTGTCTTTCTCTTTCTCTCTCTCTTTCTCTCTTTCTCTCCCTTTCTCTCTTTCTCTCTCTCTTCCTCTCTCTCTTTCTCTATTTCTTTCTTTCACTTGAAGATACAGATAGATGAACAGAAAAAAAAGAGTGTCCATCCACTGGTTCATGCCCCAAATGCTCATAACAGGCAGGACTGGACCAGCTGGGGCTGGGAACCAGGAACTCCATCTAGGCCTCCCAAGTGGGTGGAACAAATTCAATTTCCTTAGCCTTTGGTGTTGTCCCCTAAGATCTGCATTGGCAGGAAGCTGGAGTCAGGAGCCAGAATTAGGCATTAACACAAGTACTATGCTGTGGATGACTGGTATCTCAATTAGCATCTTACCTACCAGGCCAACTGCCTACCCTGGTTTTCAATATTCAAATGATCACAATTTATTCTGTGTACAGAATTATGGAAATTAGAATTGGAATTATAAGAATTTAGGAAATATAAGAAAAAAGAGGAGGTTTGTTAAGAGCACTAAAATATCAGGTCAAGAAGATGAAGAGGAAAGGAACTATCAAGTAAGAGAAAGAAAATCCATGAAAATAGGGCATTCTGGAAACCAAGTAAAGAATGTGTTTCAAGGAGAAGGAACAAGTAGTTGATTAACTACTAAAGACTGCAGTAAAATAAGTAGAGTGTTGATTTAACAATGTAGGCCTTACTGGTTAATCACCACAACAGAAATATTTGTTGTATTTGTTGTATTTGGGGTACAAAATCCTAGATGGAGTGGGTTCAGGATAAAATGGAAGCAGAGCAATTTCTGAAAATGATTATTTCCTCTTGCAAAGGAATTTGCTGTAAAGGTAAGCAGAGAACAGGGACAGTATCTGGAAAGGGGTGTGAAGTCACCAGAGACACACTGGAAATATTAGATATTTATTCACACCTAAAGCACTTTTGTAAATGCAAGTAAAAATCACATGAGTTTGTGAGTCAGGTCTTTAACTGGCACTGTTTGCTGTTCTGCATCTGTCTAAATTAGAAGCTCCTGCCTGAGGTTGGCTTTCTACTCCCCTGTTGTGCTGCTGTTTCTAGTTTTAATTTCTCCTCCATACTCTAAATGCTTCTGCTGTTTTCACTAGAATAATGAGTATGTTGCATCTTTTTAAGTTGATCACTCTGTCTTCACTTATATTCTTTCTGGAAAGGACTTTGTCTACTTAATGAAGTCATTCTAAAAGGTTTTCCAAAAGCTTTTGTTTTTGCTTCCTACTATGTGTTTGTAAACAAACTCAACTTCTCTGTTGATGTAAAGTTTATGTCCAACTCACACTTTTGTAACGATGAAATTCATTAAATAAAACCAAGGATCATTACAATTTGAAACTGGTGCTTTCCATGTAATATGACCTTGAATTCATTAAGATGCTCAGAACAAGCTTATCTTTTAGAGCCATTCTATTATCTTATTCTGAAATGTATTATTTCCATCTCTTTCATTTTTCTCCATTTCCATCTACTTTGCATTCTTTCTGTGCATTCCACTCATCAATTATTTTGTTTTGTTGCTATGTAAAAGCACACCCACATTTACTGCTTTAAAACAACAATTATTTAGTTTCCCTCACTGTTTATCTGGCTCTGGAATGTGAAAGTGACTTTGCTGGGTAGTCTAGGCACAGGGACTTAAAGTTACAGTAAGACAACTATTTCAGAGTGACGATCTCTAAAGCTCCTTAGTTACTTGTCTGGACTTCAAATCTTGTTTATTTTAGCTTTGTGATTAATATAATTTTAGTTTTGATTTTCTTCTCAATCAAGTTATTATTTAAGAACATGAGTCTTAACTTCTAGGCTAACATTTATTTATATTATTTATATGTACCGTACTTCAAAAGTTGTTTTAAGTGTTTGATATATAGCGAGTCATTTAATTCTCAAAGGAATTCTATGAATTAGAAATTGTTATTATCCTAATATTGTTGATGATTAAATTTAGGTAGAAGTAACTTTCCAAGATCAAAAAACCAGGCTCAATGTAGAGTTTGTTTATAACCACTATTTGATCCTGTTTTCATTTAAATCCCATGTTAAATTATTATTAGATTTAGTTATAATATCTGTATATTACTTGCTTTATTAAAGCATTCTGAGTAGCCAAATAAATTATTAGCATTTGGAAAGTTCCAACATCTTACTACAAAGATTTATACTTTTATTTCTGGGCTTCAAAATATGGTATACACAAGTATGATCTGTATATAGCAACAGAAAGAGAGGGAAAGAAAGAAAAATAGATGATAGATAGGAGAGATTATGGGTGATACTGTACCTGGCAGGGAGTCTGCCTGCTTTGCCCATGCAGGAGGTTGAGAATGTGGCACAGCATACCTCCCAGGAAGGACCCCACAACCAGACTGCTGGAAGGCAGCAGGAGCCCCAGGCACTTTTCCCCACTGCTGCTCCCTGTTAAATGGCCCTATAATTGCCAATCAGGTTAACAGCTCCCCGGTGTGGCCCTGGCCCATTTGGACCACCTGGAAAGCTGTCCTAGCTATATGACCTTCAAGCTGATTGGAGAAGCAAAGTGGTACCAATATCGTTCTATCCTATAGAATTAGTGTTGCCCTGAATTAGTTACTCCCCTTCTGACTGCCCTTTAAAAAGTGTGTGTGATCATTAGTAAAGTGGACATGTTCATCGATACTTGTCTCCAGTGCTTCTTGCAGAAGAACGTTATCGCCTCACCATCCTGGCAGTGTGCAGGCTTTGTGAGTTGAGCCTGCAAGAGATAAAGATATTACATAGATAGATAAATAAGTAGATAGAATCATGCACAAGTAGATAGATAGATAGATAGATAGGAACATGAACACAGTCCATGTGGGTTCTGTATCTGGATAAAACTAATCTGAGATTGAAGATATCAGAAAATTACGTTTTTATTGAATATATGTAGACTTTTGTATTGTCATTATTACCTAAACAATACAATATAAGAACTATTTACTTAGCATTTAATTTGTGATAAGTATTATAAGCAAGCTAGAGATGATTTAAAATACATGGGAGGATATGCATATGCAATTAGTATGCCATTTATGTAAGAGATTTGTGCATGTATATATTTTACTTCCTACAGGGTATCCTGGAACCAATTTTCCATGGGTTTCAAGAGATGACTATATATTATTATTTACATTTGAAATTCTAATTTATTTGATAAATATATTAATTTAGCTAATACTTTGTGTTCTATCAAGTTATTTTACTTTGATGCGATCTGTATTCTGTTAACATAATTCAATTTCATAAAATTTCGTGATTATAGATTGTATATTTTTCTATTTAACATCTCTTCTTATAGTCTCATCAGAAATTTACTTCATCTAATAAAAATAATATTTTAAAATATTTTCAATTGTACTTGTCTGAAATATATTTGCTCATAAATTAGTTTTATTTTTTCTTATCTTTTATATATCATTCTTAATTAATATGCGACTAGAATTTGGATTAACTGAGTGATTCTATCCATTCAATTCTTTCACAAAAAATAATAGATTTTACCTTCTGAGTCACCTTATGATGACATTTTTCCTTCTCTCAAATTTTTACTTACTTATTTGAAGGGCAGAAAGAGATCTCCCATCTGCTGATTTACTCCCCAAGTGTCCATGACAGCTAAGGTTAGACCCAGGAACTCAATCCAGATTTCCCATGTGGTGGTAGGGACTCAGTATGGACGTCAGGGACCCAAATAGTTAAGTCATCACCTATAGCTTCCTAGAGTCTGCATTAGAAGGGCAAGAGTTGGGACTCACACACTGCACTCTAAATGGTATGCAGCATTCCAATCAGCATCTTTACCACTGAACCAAATGACCAGCCCTCCATTTTCCTTACTCTTGATGATCTTGCTTAAATTCACTTTGTCGACTAAAGAAAGAGTAGACTAAAGTCTCCTCTTCCGTAACACTTTTTATTGTAAATAATTTCAAAATTTTAGTCCCAGGCTGCTATAAAATTATTCATTTAATATTACTCCTTGTTTTCAAGAATCTTGGCATTAATTTTTAAAATTTTTTTCTTTCATCTTTATTTTTTCTGTTTTTTTTAACTTTTATTTAATAAATATAAATTTCCAAAGTACAGCTTGTGGATTACAGTGGCTTTTCCCTCCCATAACTTCCCTCCCACCCACAACCCTCCCATCTCCTGCTCCCTCTCCCAGTCCATTCACATCAAGATTCATTTTCAATTATCTTTATATACAGAAGATCAATTTAGTATATGTTAAGTAAAGATTTCAACAGTTTGCACCCACACAGAAACACAAAGTGTAAAGTACTGTTTGAGTACTAGTTATGGCATTAATTCACATTGTACAACACATTAAGGACAGAGATCCTACATGGGGAGTAAGTGCACAGTGACTCCTGATGTTGACTTAACAGTTGACACTCTTGTTTATGGCGTCAGTAATCACCCTAGGCTCTTGTCATGAGTCACCAAGGCTATGGAAGCCTTTTGAGTTTGCCAACTCCATCCTTATTTAGACAAGGTCATAGTCAAAGTGGAAGTTCTCTCCTCCGTTCAGAGAAAGGTACCTCCTTCTTTGATGACCCGTTCTTTCCATTGGGATCTCATAGAGATCTTTCATTTAGGTGTTTGTTTCTTTGTTTGTTTGTTTTTGCCAGAGTGTCTTGGCTTTCCATGCCTAAAATACTCTCATGGGCTCTTCAGCCAGATCCGAATGCCTTAAGGGCTGATTCTGTCCAAAGTGCTGTTTAGGACATCTGCCATTCTATGAGTCTGCTGTGTATCCCACTTCCCATGTTGGATCCTTCTCTCTGTTTTAATTCTATCAGTTAGTTTTAGCAGACACTGGTCTTGTTTATGTGACCCCTTTGACTCTTAATCCTATAGTTATGATCAATTGTGAACTGAAACTGCTCACTTGGACTAGTGAGATGGCATTGGTACATGCCACCTTGATGGGATTGAATTGGAATCACCTGGCACATTTCTAACTACTGTTTGGGGCAAGTCCGATTGAGCATGTGCCAAACTGTACATCTCCTCCCTCTCTTATTCCCACTCTTATATTTAACAGGGATCACTTTTCAGTTAAATTTAAACACATAAGAATTATTGTGTGTTAATTAAAGAGTTCAACCAATAGTATCAAGTAGAACAAAAAACATTAATTTTAAATACTTGCATAAGTACATTACTCTTTCTCCCTAACTTTATTCAAAGCATCAGTGAATTAAAATTTGTTGCTAAATTAATTTAACCAGTTAAAACACTTCAGAACCTGGGCTCACTGATAATTGAAATGGTTGGTTGAGGTTCCTTCTTTCTTTGTCCTTCTTTTTTTTATAATCTGACATGACAAATGGATCCTTAACAGCCACCTTGCACAGAGCATGATAATCTTATGCTAAGGATATAGGACAGAAACACAGGAGGCTGGCACTCTGGAAACTGTAATGCCCACACACAAATTCTCCCTTCCTCTCTGGATTGCATGTGATTGAGAAACAATTAACTAGTCCTGTCTTTAAGGCACTTCTGTGAACTATTTTCTGCAACCAAAACTAATCCTATCTAATAACCAATTTCCACATGACTCTGTTAATGTATGTATGTGAGAATGTTTATGTTAAGATTTGCTGCTCAAATCTCATCATCTTCACTTTCTCCCTGTACTGAGATTATTTTGTCATTTAGCTTAATTTTAAAATTTCTTCCAGGAAATTATTCTCCTTGACTCATTAAATGTCCCACAATGTGGCCCTTTGGTTTGACACGTTATAGATTCAGCACCACAGATCCCTAACATCTGCTCTTGCCTGTGCATAAAATTCATGAAGGTCTGAGGCACTGCAAGGATGGAATACTGCAGTGGCATATTAAAATCTCAACTCAAAGCAGGGTGGCCCTTTTAAGAAATGGCAGCTGAAGAGTAAGCTGTGTCACCGAAGAGCTTCAACCTCTTGGACCTGGGATGGGTTTTGACAGGAGATATCCCTGGTTCTGTATAACACAAGAGGAGAAAATTTCTCCCACTTAGAGTAGATACATGCACACTCAGGTGCACACTCAGATAAAGGGGGAGAGAACAGAATCCTCAAAGCTCACATGTCCAAGGCACCATTAGCCAGGCTGCAGCCAGCAGAGCAGGCAGTAGTGGGCCAGGTGGTGGCAGATTCTTGGCTCTAAGACCAGCCAGTTGGCAGCATTCTCAGGGTGCCTGAGGAAACATGTGCCAGAGAGGCAAGGTGGGGGTCCTTGTTTGGAGGAGAAAAAGAAATAAGACAGCACAAGGAGAAAACTTTTACGTGTGATCCTAAGTCAGTCATCTCCATCAATATATACAGACAAAAAAAAAAGTATGTTAACAAGGGGAGGACAAATCCAGAAATGTGTTTAAAGCACCTCAGCTACTGGAACAACCTTCTATTAAAGTGGATGGTGGCTGAGATCCATAATAAATAGAATTAAACATTAATGTGATCTCTTATTTCCCAAATCTTCATCTAGATATTAAATCTAGTGTTTATATTTCAGTCCATGCCACTGCCTTGGTTTAGTTCCAAATCATGCTTCGTGAGGATGGTTATTTCTATAAAAACCCATCTGAGACCTAAACTTACTATATCCTACCTTGAAATTCACCAGCTACCTGGCTATGAAAACACTCTCCAAAATACAAATCTAACTATGTCTCTTCTCTGGCTAGAATTTCTAGATTGTTCTCCATTACATAGCACAATTCTCAAATTTCTTTGGATGTTTTAAATCGAGTTTTATTTCCTACCCATTTTGACCCATCCAATGCCATTTTCTACCATCAGTTCCCATTTTCCCTTTAAGGTATATGCAATTCCCTACAGGGGTCATGCCGCCACTCCACATCCTTACCACATTGTAGAGCAGTCCCTTCAGCCCAGAACAGCTGTCCTCATCTCTGCCTTTGAACTCCCAAGAAACCCGTTTTCAAAGCTACCTTTCTCCAGGCAGAGCCAGAAGTTCTTTTATTTTTTTTTCTAAAGATTTATTTACTTATTTGAAAGAGTTACAGAGAGAGAGGGAGAGAGAGAGAGAGAGAGAGAGAGAGAGAGAGAGAGAAGAGAGAATCTTCCACCTGCTGATTCACTCTCCAGGTGGTCACAATGCCAGCACAGGGATAGACCAAAGCCAGGAACCAGGAATTTCATCCTGATCTCCCATGAGGATAGCAGGGACACAAACACCTGACCATGCTCCTCTGCTTTCCCCAGGCCATTAGCAGGGAGCTGGATGGGAAGTGGAACAGCTGGTTCTTGAACCAGCTCCGATATGGGATGTTGACATTGCAGGTGGCATCTTTACCCACTATAACACAGTACCAGCCCCAGATCCAGAAGTTCTATCCAGACATAATAGGCTTTAATATAAAAAATGTTAAAAAGAGGTGAAGAAGGTCACTATGTAACGATTAAGGGAGCAAATCAACAGGAAGATGTGACTATAATAAACGTATACATACCCAATTACAGGGCACCTGACTATTTAAAAGCAATGTGAATGGATCCAAAGGGAGACATGAACTCCAATACAATAGTAATGGGGGACTTTAACATCCCACTTTCATCAATGGACAGATCAACTAGACAGAAAATCAGCAAAGAAACAACAGATCTAATAGGTACTATGAACCAAATGGACCTAACAGTAGATATGTTAGATATATGTTAGATATTATATCAGAACTTTTCACCACACATTTGCAGA